GTTGCAAGTTCATCTTCGTCATCATACCAAAATCACCCTTATTATCATCACAATAATCAATACTCATACCATCATTCTTCAGAATCCAATCATCCACCTCATCATCATCAACATCCACCTCAACCTCAACATCATCATGATAATTACCATCCTCAACATAATCCTAATCATGTTAAACCTGAATATGATCAATCAAATGTAAGACCTCCAATAGATTGGTATCCAAATAATAATGGAAATGAACTTCATACCAACAACAATAATAACGACGACAATAATCATAGCAATAGAGGTGATTTTCAACAACGTAATTAATCAATCTCAAAAAAAAAAATCTTTGGAACATTTGTAGATTTATTTATTTATTTTGTTAATTATGTAAGATATTAATAAAAATCTAATAAACCAAAATTTATTTTTATTTTTTTAGAATCATTATAAGCTTTTTTAAATTATGATAAACTATAATCAATATATTTATTTACACATATGCTATAGTTCTACTTCTACTACTTCTACTACTTCTAATACTTATACTACTTCTACTACTACTTCTACTACTACTACAATTAGTTACATTATAATAGAATAATAATTAATAATTAATAACAACAACAATAACAATAATATTTTCAAAAAATTGTTTTATTTTCTAAGTAAATACTGTAATGATACTTTAAAAATCTTTTTTCAAAATAATTTACTTCACAACTATTGCGTGAAAGAGATTCGGAGTTATCTACAGACTTCACAAATATTGACTTATAACTACAGTTTTAAGGAATTGATATTTGGAATCATGTGATTCGGCGAAGAAGATGGTGAAAAATAAAAATAAAAATAAAAAACAAGATTTTTGAATGGAAAAGATTTCTTTGTAAAGTTGGAAAACAATATATTAAGCGATGATATCATTCCATTAATAAGATTCAATCAAATATCTGCAACTGATTTTTCATTTAAAAATCAAACCATACAAAAAGGTTTTCAATATAGATTTGTATGTATGTATCAAGGACTTCTTGATTATTTACTAATTATGGTGAAGATAAAAAATGACAATCAAAATCATCATTACCAACAATAATGGCTCTTTAGAATATTTCAAGAACAAATATTATATTTACAATTAAAAAAAAGAAAATCAAGTCATGATTTTGAATTAATTTTATTGTGGAAAAAGTCAGGATGGATTCTCAAGGTCAAGAAATGTTATAACATTGAACAAGCTGTGGCAATGAAAATTATGGAACCAGGTGAATTAATCTGTTAGAATATAAAAGAAAAATCTCCAGATTTTAATACTAATAAAATTTTCTAAATCAAATAAATTTTTTTAGCTATTATCAGTGGAGTTGAAACAATTATTAGATAAAATATTTAACAAGATGTCAATCTTCAAATCCATATAAATACCATATTTTAGATCTACCTTCTTAAGATTGTAATTGAAACTACATGATGTTTGGGTGCGAGGTTCCTTTTGGCTGGCTTACAAAAACAAATATTACTATTTATTCAAATTAATTGATTAAATTTTTTAATGTTACATTATTTACCTTTATGATTTCTCATAAAGCCGTAATATTAAAATTTGAAGAAATTGCTACATTAAAGACTTTGTTTTAATAAAACTTTATGGGAATTGACAACTTCTGGATGGTGAAGGTTTAAACAATAATATTAGTTTTATACCTAAAGTTTATTTTGATAATCTTAATATAACAAAAATTTTCTTTAATATGGTTGGCTTGGTCCTATTGCTGCGCCATATGCTACCAAATTTCAAAAATTGCGATTTCGTGATTTGACAGTGTTGAAAATTCAGCGGGAGTGTGTAACGTTACACAAGCAGTGTGCACATATCGTTTTTTAGAAAATTTTAATTATTTATTTTAATATTAATGAATATTGTTTTACAAAAAAAATTAAAACCTAATGTTTCTTCTTGGTTTTTTACTCTCCCAATGTTCTAATGCTTTTAAAAAATCAAAATTTTCAATTTCTGGTCCATTTAATAAAATCATTAAATGATCATCTAATGTGTCTAAATGCATTTTGTTTCTTAATTAACTTTGTTTGAGAAAATATTCTTTTGAATGGTGCAATCATCAAACTTGTGTTTTTCCTCTTCTGGAGTGGGGGGTTTAATTTCGTCCCACTTGATGCAGTAGATCTTTTCTGTGTCAGAAACTTTAATTTCCTGTTGTATCGCCTTCTGCAAATCTTCCTCATTTATAAAATTAACAACCAAGTATTTGACTTTTTTGTTAACTCTAACATGAGTTCCTGAGTAAGACACAAACGACGCAAATAATTTGTCTAAGTTCTTTGTCTTTTCTTTTGCAGTTTTCCCCTTAATTTTGTCAAAGGGGACACCAGCCATATGTTCTGTTTGACGTGTAATATGAACAATCAGGGGAGCTTGTTCTTGATCAGTTAAATCCTCCATTGATATATCTGGGGATGAGCTTTCATCTTTATCTTTGAGAGTGTGTGGCGCAGCCTCAGGTTGAAAGTTCAAAAGAGGAGGAGAGGTGTTATCAGTGGTTTTAGTTGACAAACCGCTGTCTTGAATTTCAAATTGATTTTCTTTTCCTTTGTCTAAAATGACTTTGGAGGTTTGTTGAATAGGTTTTTCAACCATAATAACCTTGCCTTTGGTTGGCTTGGTGACCTTGTTGTTTCCAGTATGAGCTGGAGGAGTTGTCTGTGAAGTTTTGTTTTGTATTCTAGCAGAGCGTTTAGGCATGTTCACTTATTTTATCAAAGTATTGAACTAATAACAGTGTGTGTGTTTATAGAAAAAATAGTTTCAAGTTACTTTTTACTGTGGTTTTGTAAAAAACGCAAAAGGAACAAGAAAGAGTTTTTTCATGAATGTATTTTTCTTCAGACTACATCAATTAGGGATGGGGGTGTTTGGTTTGGTTTGGTTTGGTTTCATAAAACCAGTTTAAACGGTTTGAACAGTTTTTTGAACAACATTACACGACCCCTATTTAATTACCAAAAAAGGCAATGAATTTCATTCCTTTTTTGGAAATTC